TTGTAGTGAGTGAGAGAAATTGGATCCCACAAGGTTTGCACACTGAGCGATTAACACTAGGTGACGCAAAGTGCAGTGCGTCATCACTCGGATGAAAATCCGCCAGGTCAAGTCCCAGAAACCCCGTCGAACCATAACGTAGGGTCCCGGGCGGTTAAGAATTAACTTGAAGCCCAAAACGTCGCTGGAGCTAAGAAGGTCGTGCTCTGTGCGACGCTCTCAGCAGGTAGCTAGCTGTTCTGCTGAGAGAGACTGGGACATAAGGGATAAAACCCGGTGCAGTGAAGACGACCATCATATCTGTCAAGTCAAGCCAGAGGGTGGCTGTAAATTTTTTTTTAATGTGTCTTCTGTCAGGACGCGTCTGTAAGTTATGTTTGTAGAAACATAACTACGTATGCTGTGAATATTTTTCTAATGCTTTTTTTCCAGCGAGGGCATTAATTTATTACAAATTAGTTATTGCTATTAGAACCGGATAGCATATTATACTAATAACTGTAAATCGAAAACGGTGTTTGAAAACCATATATAAAGAGGAACATAAATTAACCTAATCTTCCCAGTGTGTACACTCTAACCAAGGTCACGGTGTTCAACTGAAACAATTCTGCATTCTTGTTCTTGTTTACTTTTCTTCTCAAGAAACTTCTCAGTTGACACTCGCTCAGAGATGCTTGAAAAGCCTCGGGGGCAGCTGAAATCTCTCGGACTTAACTCCCGTGTTTACTTGTTGGTTTCTGCGCCGTTAAGGTGGATATGGACAAACATTCTTGAGTAGCCCGTGCCTGGTTCGGTCTGATAATGGTAAACACTTGGATGTGATGTCAAAATTCAAATTCTTAAAGTAGATACGGTGAAAAGGGCTGCTTCAGGATTTTAAAAATTACAGTCAAAATTATTTGTGTCGAAGTATATTTAATATTTAAAGCACTTTAACTATCTTTGTTCTGACAGTTCCACAATAGTCTCCCCAAACAAACTAGGTCACGTTCCATTCATAATTTTTTTAGACTAGTCTGCAGCCCGGGGGGGGGGGGGGCACTCTCTACGGGGAATTGTGTGTTAGACCCAGTTTATAAATGTTTTTGTAGTGTTAAAAGCGCTGGCATGCTTAAATATACAACACGCGACATCAACGGCATTGCCGAACACTCCCGTAGCAGTGTGCGAAGGTCGGGTGACTTAAGGTCGACCAATCAGATGTGAGCTAGTGTGTATATTTTTTGTGTCCATGGGGAGACTGTCGTGGAACTAACCCTAAGCTCATTCGCCATTTTTATAGCTATTTTTAGTGCACCATCAGATCCCTTGACAAAGTTTTAGCAGCCAAGGCTTGTCTTTTATTTTAAAAAATTAGGGGACACCACGTGTTCTAGCCCTGCTGACTCTTGGTGTATTTTTTATGTTATTAGTAGTAATGTTTTATCTTTCTCAGACCTCCTTGTTGTTTGTGTCGAAACATCAGACTATAAAGTGTAGGTTGGGTTTAGGCACAGAGAGATGGCAGTGAAGAAGTACGCTGAAGAAAGACACAGAGAGAGGCGGGAAAGAAATATATGGAAAAAAAGAGTGTTGGAGAAATTTGTGTGTGTGTGTTGTGTGTGTGTGTGTGGTGAATTTTCTTTAATTCTAAATGATAGGGGATAATAGTGTGTGTGTGTGTGTGTGTGTGTGTGTGTGTGTGTAAAGAAGAAGAAAAGAAAGCAAGAACGAAAAAGGGGGGGGGGGTTGGGGGGGGGGAGAAGAAGGATTGTCTACCAAGCTATGACAACAAATGTAACGAAAAACTGACAAAATTATTCGCGTAGTGACATCTGAAACTAATGTTATCATAATTACCATGGAACGAGTGGGCTATTAAACAGACTATGGCCTTTGAAACACACTCAAGACAGGGGCGCCGCCTAGAGAAACATCTGGAGAGAGTTTCGTTAACAACAAATCGGTACACGGGCTAGGGGCTCCCCCAACCATTACACCAATCTGATTTTCCAGGACTTTTCCCCCAGTAGTCACGACCCCATCGATAACTCCCATCCGCATCAACAGCGTTCAAATCCACAGCTACATCCACAGGTCAGATCCTCATTCCTCGGTCGATCCTCAGTCCAGGTCCTCAAACCGGATCCCCAATCAGGATCCTCAACCCAACCAGCAAAGCCATCCATCCTCTCTCAAATAATATGGATCCGTAGCGGCTTTTACTACTAATATAACACCGCCAAATTGTATAGTACAGTATTACCCAAACTGTGCCGCGGCACCCCGGGGAGCCGCAACCTCTTCACAGGGGCGCCGCAAAATATTGTAAAATCTTCATAATGAATTAAACCAAGACACGAATAGTCATACTTTGACTTAAGTTAGGGCGTCTTGGAAAGATTTTTATTGAAAAAAAAAAAAAGGCTCCTCGACCCAGAAAAGTTTGGGAAGCACTGATAGAGCACATAAATTAAACGTTTAGTTTTAAAAAATGTGCAGTGCGCATGTGCTTCAGCAATTACTGCTTGTATTTATTAATTCTGACGGTGTAGACCAGGGGTAGGGGTAAGGGTAAGGGTAGGGGCAGGGGTAGGAGCAGGGGCAGGGGTAGGGGCAGGGGTAGGGGTAGGGCTCTTTGAGCGTGGGGATTTAGAACTGCATAGCTGCTGGCGTCGTCACAGACTGAGCAGGTAAGGATTTTATTTTTGCCCCTATAGAAAATAAATCCACTACTTTACCAAAGATTCGAAACTGGGGCTCCCGCGTGAGAGTCCAGAACTCTTAACGATTCGGCCAGCAAAGCGAAATAGAAAGGATGGAGAAATGTTCTGGTCAGAACGTGTTCTTGATCTATAACTAAATGCAATTGTTATCACATTAACTGGTCTTTTAACTAAAGTTCTACAAACTTCTCATGAAAGAAAAAAAAAAGAAAACGCTTCTGGCTTTTTGTTTTAAAAATGCTGTAGTTTTAAAAAAAAATGTTGCACAATTTCTGGTATATCCGGGATATATCTCATTATATAATCACTATATAATTAAAACAAACAGATAATTTAAATAATGCTGACACAGACAATACATTGCACGTCCTGGCATATCCGGGATAGTTATCATTATATATTCATATTTATATCTAAACGGAAAAATAAATATTATTTTAATGATTATTAAAAATACAAATGAACTTTATTTCAAAATTGCTTTGTGCTTCCCCCAGCCCCCCCCCCCCCAGCCCATTTTCTCCATGTTGAAGACCACTGCTATAAAGGAAACTTTGTACGCAAGTGGAGCATTACATCGACCACCGGGACAGTCCACTGGTTGGCCGGCAGGCGAATTCGTCGTCGGTCAGGATAGTATTTAGGTCTGTCCTCTTTGATCACATCAACACTCTAGGAGTCACTTGGCGTGCAATGCTAAGCCATCTTATTTGGCGCACATAATCTAGTCACAATTATAACCTAAAACTTTCCCTTCGGGGATGCTGGTTGAATGTAACGATCCAGAAAAAACCTACCAAGTCCATTGTACGAAACATTTTTTTTTTTTGGTAGACTAAACAGCATATAATGGGTGATGTGGTCTAGTCTACATCATGAAAGCTGCTTTTACTTGCTTTGATCTTACCTGAAAAAGGACGCTTTCCTTATTAAAAAAAAACATGTGGGGAAAAGGGGGGGGGGGGGCATTGAAGTAGCCTTAGCCGCCAGGGACCGGTACAGCTGATATTGTTTGTCTCCATCCTCTGACTTCTCTTTCAGACTAGAAGTGTTAGGCTGTCAACCGCATTTACTAGTGGCCTCTTTCAGACTAGAAGTGTTAGACTGCCAACCGCATTTACTAGTGGCCTCTTTCAGACTAGAAGTGTTACGCTGTCAACCGCATTTACTAGTGGCCTCTTTCAGACTAGAAGTGTCAAGCTGTCAACCGCATTTACTAGTGGCCTCTTTCAGACTAGAAGTGTCAAGATGTCAACCGCATTTACTAGTGGCCTCTTTCAGACTAGAAGTGTCAAGCTGTCAACTGCATTTACTTGTGGTTTCTTTACACTGAGATTAACTGATCAATAGTTATCATCCGAGGTTTTATAAATGATTGTCTTTGAGTTCGTTTAACAGTAGTAGTAGTAATTTAAACAACAATATCCTGTTTAACGCATCCATCTTATTGTTGGGATATATAGATTTTTTTTGAATATTTAAATTATGTTTATTTATGCATGGGAGTCGCCTCGGCGTTGGCAGCTATACGCCCCCCTGCGGATCGGAGGTGAAGGCGACCGGCGTGATGCTGACCACATCGCCCACCAAGTGCCGATTGGTCTATAAAATATAAGTCAAGCCCTATATTCGCAGTACGCACAAAGGAGTGGAAAAGAGACCCTTTTAAAAAAAAAAAAACTATATTTGTGTCTACCAATTATGTTTAAGAATCGAAATCACAGCACTCAGGACATTTCCACAAGCGCTCTGTCCCCATCTTTAGCAGCAAGAGCAGAGTTCCAATTTTTCTACCAGTTATGTTTGGTTATACAATATCGCATAGCTTATGTGTTAATTATTCTTTCTTAACGCGGGCGGGTCTTGCTATTCACATTCGCCATCGCCATGGGCTGAGTCCCATCATCCTCCTAGAGCAATATAACATTATCGTCTGGAAAGACGGAAAGGTGCCAATGATGTATTAATTGTATGGTAATGTAGAAGTATAGACTGTCACATTCAATATATTTTAAATGAACTTTCAAACAATGATACTGTGTAGTCGATCTTTTCGGATATTTAAAGAGATTAGGGATACCATTATTTTGTCTTAAGATATGTTAACTTCTCATTTGCTAGTCCCTATTATGTACTGTTCAATCTTTCCCTGTAGTTTTCTAGAACCATCTACTCCCAGGATCCTATATTATATTATTTCGTTTAAAATTGTCTCTCACTGTTACTTCATGTTTTTTACCAATAACAGTTTTTTTCTCTCTGACTTTTCGACTGAAGAACTACACAGTAAACATGGCGGCGTTTGTTAGGTCGCTCTCTCTGCAAGGTCAGAGATTGCGGGTGCTTTCTCGAGCGACCTCGCTGAGACCTCTGATGGTACCTCTTCTGCCACATAGGGTCCTGATTTCCACGTCAAAAAAGAATAAGGATGTTGGAGCGGTAGTTGAGCCTATGGAAAAATCTGCAGAATTAAAACGGTTGACGGAGCATTTTGGTGATATCGACAAAAACAAAGAAGAGGTTAAGTAACTTGAACAGTTTGATAAGATAAACCAGAATTGTTTATTTAACACATTTATTACTATGTTTCAATAAGTTAATACATTAAAAGTATTATAATTAATTGTGATTTGTATGCTAATGTAATATTTACCTGAATGTTGACGATTATTTACCAGTAACCATAATATTAATAATAAATAATGATAACCGGACGCGGGCTGGACGGCTTAGTTCAGTTTAGTGGGAGTTCTCTCCCTTGGCCACACTGCAAACAGTGAGCGGAAAAGTCCACGAATCAAATGACATACTTAGCTATCATCATACGGTTACGTGTAGGGTTGCGTGTCGGGTTGCGTAGTCATCATACGGTTGCGTGAAGGGTTGCGTGGTCATCATACGGTTGCGTGTAGGGTTACCTATCATCATGCGGTTGCGTGTAGGGTTGCGTAGGGTGTCTATCATCATACCATTGCGTGTAGGGGTAGGGTTAGATGTGAAAATTGACGCTTGGCGAGGCTACAGCAACGTCGCAAACTTAAGACATGGCATCTATCTGCACGAGGTAGTAGTCCACCAGACCAACTTCGTCGACGTCACATACACACACAAACAATCGAAGGCCTGTGGATGCTAGTCAAACGGACAATTCAACGATTGGGCACCAGCCGTGCGCTATTGGCGTCATATTTGGCAGAATTTCAGTGGTGCCACTCCCACAAGCATCAGATTGTCGGCCAGTATTTAGAACTCCTACGTCAAAATTTTCACATCTAACCCTAACCCTAGCCGCTAACCCTACCCCTAACCCAAACCTACGCAACCCTACACACAACCGTATGATGATAGGCTACCCTAGACACAACAGTATGATGACTACGCAACCCTTCACGCAACCGTATGATGACTACACAACCCTTCACGCAACCTTATGATGACTACGCAACCCTACATGCAACCGTTTGATGACTATGCAACCCCACACGCAACCGCACGCAACCCTACACGCAACCGTATGATGATAGGTAAGTATGTCATTTGTTTCGTGACTTTTCCGCTCACTGTTTGCAGTGCAGCCAAGGGAGAGAACTTCCACTAAACCCAACTAAGCCGTCCAGCCCGCGTCCGGTATTGAAAGAAGAGCCAAATAATGATTAACCTGGTAATCTTAGTTTCAGCTTCATAGCAAACGGGTCACCCCATAGTTGCACATTGCAATGGTTTCCAGTCATATTATATTATTATTAATATTATATAATGGTAACCACATTATTTTTTCATTTTCATACAGAAAGTACTAAGTGCAGTCGAGTCTGGATAAGTATTAAGTAAAAGTCACAAGAACATAAGAAAAATTGTTCTAGTTATCAGAAATTCTGGCTATCTTCTGAATAACGATCCCAAATTATCGAGGCCGAAAATATACCCTAACAGGGCCTTAGTCACATGTAAATTGCGCACTTTCGGCGACTTCCACCATCGCCGAGAGTATCTCCCACGCCGCTACACGCGGCGTGGATTAGGGATAAACTAGATGGCTGGGACTCACAAGCAGCAGCTACCGCATCTCCTGCAGCTTCCTTTATTTCATTTGCTCGTGAGTCCCAGCCATCTAGTTTAGCCCCACTCCAGGCCGTGCATAGCCGCGTGGAAGATACTCTCGGCGGTGGCGGAAGTCCGCAATTTACATGTGACTGAGGGGCCTCAATAATTTGGGACCGTTATTCGAAAGATAGACGAAATTCTACTTATCCAGATATAGCACACAATCACACATAGTAAAGAATGTACACGGCTCTCCTTTAAATAAGGATCGCTAGCTGGAAGTCACGAATCAAAAACAAGGGCAACAGTGACATACACACCCAAACAATTGAAAGGACTGTGGATGCTACTCAAACTGACAAATCGCTATCAATAGGGCACTAGCCGTCATATTTAGGAGAATTCCAGTGGCGCCACTCCCACAAGCAGCACATTGTCGGCCATTATTTGGAACTCCTGCGTCAAAATTGTCACATATAGCGGCCGTTATTATGGGTAAGTACTCGATGCTACATGTGTTACCCTAACCCAAACCCTAAGCCTAGCCTAACCCTAAGCAACCGTAGGATGACAGGTAATTATGTCATTTGTTTCGTTCCCTCTTTACCACTCCGTATTTGCACTGCAGCCAAGGAAGTGAACTCCGACTAAGCGACCGTCGCCTTCCAGCTAGCGACCGTTATTTAAAGGAGAGCCATGTACACTAATAGTAATAATACCATGCAATGGCATTGAGAAATTCGTATTGTACCAATACTATTTAGGTAACAGTGTAACAATGTGAGCTAAAGTTAACAAATAAATAGCAGCACATTATCAGAAATGTTGAAATATTTCATATGCTTATCACCAGTTCAAACGCCAGGGACCTTATGACCCTTTTTTCATATATATAATAAAAATGATTAATATATCAGCTCTGAGGACACAAGTGTTATCTGGCTTGCTTACTTTCAGACCATGTCTGATAATTCTAACACACAAATTGGTGGTGAAACCACTCAGACCTTATGGAAATGAAAACTTCACTATTGAAGAAAATTTTTGAATAAGATCTTTTTTTGATTGACAGAACTGGACATCATATGGATATGCACCTGGCGACCGTGACACAGATTGGTTTCAGCATCATTTGATGATGTTTTTGGTAATTACAGTAGCCTTCTGTGGATGCCTTTTTGTTGGTGCATACATGCCTGACTACATGTAAGTTTCAAGTAGTAGTTTTTTCACTGAGGAAGTATTTGCAAAATCGTTAGTATTACTGTGTGAGAAATTACATGTTTAAGAAATGAGCAAGGTTGCACTAGAAATACACTCATGGGGACAGTGATGATCATTGTTGGGCTTCTGAGCGTCCAGCCGTGCACTCACTCAGGCTATTATTTATTTGTATCTGACCAACATTGGAGAATCATTAAGGTTAATTAGATTTGAAAACAAATGCCTAAGGTAATAAATGAAGGTTTAGTTGGATATATTTTTCAGATGGTGAAAAGCAAAAGAAAAGTCTGGACAACAATTATAAGACAAAGAAGATGGTTATACACTGCATACATCCTTAGGAGAGATGGACAGAGAATCCCCAAACAAGCACTCGTCTTCATTATCAATTTGAATTGGCCAAGTTCAGCCACTACCTAAGAAGCTAGCCTCTCCCAGATAGCATTAGTTATAATTTTGGATCTTGCTTATGCTGTTATTTCATTGTGTGTTTCTTTGTGTTGACGGTTCTAGCCTCCCATGTCTGCCAGGCCAGGTTTTCTGCATGTTGTTTGTAGGGTTGTCAGTTTTGTGCTGACTGATTAGTTTGGTGCTCAACATGTTGACAGATTATATGGTCCCCACCATTGGTTGCTGTCCTCTGTTCTCCTTCTTTTTCTTTGTGTTTGGTTTTGTATGCTCAGATCAGACCATCAGGTAGGTTGCCTCTGTAAACTTGCATGTCAATAGCATGTCCTTCATGGTTCCCCATAGCTTGCTCTGCACATTTTGCTTTTGAGGTCAGGTGTCTTTTCAAAGTTGTAGGTAGAGTGGGCAGTATGCAGAATGTGCTCAGGTGTTTGTGGTCCTGTTTGACAGGCACACTGTGAGGACTGTACAATCTTTATTTTATGCATGTGGTAGTTGAACCTGTAGTGTCCAGTTCATAGACAGAATATTGTTGTGTGTTGCTTTCTATTGAGTCTGCTGATGGGATCTTGTGGATGTTTACTATTAGTTTTCTCCACAAATCCTTGTTTTTTCCCTTGATAAGTGTTCTGATTTGTGGTAATGACAGTGAATGGGTTTGTTGTTTCTCCTTTGTTTCATTTTTTGCAAGTGTGTCTGCTAACTCATTTCTTGGTATGCAACCGTGAGCCGGGATCCACTGGAGAATGATTTGAATGTTTTCTGCTAGTCTGTTTAGCTAGTGGATCAGTTCTCTCTATGTGTTGTCTCGTGGATCCTTCTGAGTCACCTGGGGACTGACACGCAATCACAAAGGAAAACAATTTTGCTGTTTTTTGTTGTTTTTTTTTTTCCCCAAGCACTTTGGCTTAATAAATAATTGCTTGCTGCTCAGAAGTTTGTTGAGAGTCTTCCGAAGGCGCATGACGTTTCTACTGTGGTCTCTTCTTGCAGCATGATGACCGATTCAGCTCCTCCATTTTCACTGCTCCCTCCAGTGATCCATCGGTGTATACATAAGTCCAATCAGGTTTTGAATAAGAGTTATAGACATGTTCAAGGGTCTTTGGATGTAGTCCTAGGTCACATTCTTCAGCCTTTCTGTCTATACCTGGAATGGTTGTTGTGACTGTATAGTTAAGCTGTAGGTCTATGCTGTATGCCTGGATCATTTTCCACGTTGGAGGATCTTTAGAAAGGATGTCACTGTTTTGTTTTATAGTACTATTTTGATAGATGATGAAATGAAAGCTTTGTCTTTTCAGTCTGTTTTTAGTTAAGTTGTTTGCTATTTTGTGCATGGGGTTGTTCATGAATTTACATTTTTCTGTTAGGGTAAGCACTTTCTCTTCCCTTCGAAGGCTCAAGCTCTGGAGGCCAGAAGTTGCCTCCAGCTCATAGATTGGTGCGCTCTCATACCTCCAGTTATGATTCTGGAACCAGTGTTCTGTATTTTTTCGTTTGTGTAGGTTTGATTTGGCTGCAGTGGTATATGCTCCCATGCCATACTCCAGTTTTGGTCGTACATATCCTGTTTATACTTGTTGTACAGTGTTGGCATCTGCACCCCAGCTTGTTCCAGTAAGTTTCTTTATAAGTCTGAATTGCAGGGTAGCTTTCATTTGGGTGTCTTAAATGTGGGGCCCTAGGCTAGCCTTTTGTATAATTTTACTGTCAATTATGTGGGGTTATCCTCTTTTGAAAGGATGTTTCCTTCTAGGTACAGATCAACTTGTTCTGGCTTTGTGGAAAGAGAGAAGAGAGTTCAGACGGTTTTGGTCTGGTTTATTGTAACTCTCCAAGAGCTTGTCTATTTCTTCACTGTATTTATAGCTTCCTGCATTCTTGTTTCAGTTGTTTTTATATGTTCAGCTTGGGTCCATATGGCCAAATCATCTAAATGTAGGGCCTTGTGAATGTGCATCGTGAACTGTTTTAGGAGGTCATTAATTAAAAGAGTAAACAGGGTAGGAGATATAACACCTCCCTGGGGGAAACTTTTTTGTAACCTGACCAGATTGTTCTTGTGTTCTTCCAGTCTGACAATCACACAGTGTCTGTACAGAAAGTCTCTAATCCAGGCAAACATATGCCCTTTTATCCCACTGGTCCTCTGTTAATTTTTCATAATATATCTGCGATGGAAACAAATGGATTCAGGTAGCAATGATGTCCAAGAGAAACCCTAAGACAAACTTCAATGTTAGAGACCAAAAGGGACAGACTAGATGTTATCCGTGATATTTAAAAAAGAATGCACAGGATATAACAGAATTGAGGAATAGAATGTGAGCCTTATGTGAGTCATAATATATTAACCATAGGAGCATTAGGATGTTATAGTTCTTATAAGGTTGTTATATCTTGAGAGGAACCAGTATATTTTACTTGTCTCTGTTTTATTCTTTTCACTAACTCTTTATTAAATTCCTAGTCTCCCCAGAACCCGTGTGACTGATTGTTTTTTGTTTCCATGAAATATGTCATGTTATCACAATCGATGTTGCTGCACATTGGGCATTCCCAAGCTTATGCAGATCTCTGTTGCTTTAGCCACCCTAAGCATATATATATGTGTGTGTGTGTGTGCATACATCAATGTGTGTGAGTGTCTGCATCTGTTTAAAAAAAAAGGATGGAGTGGGTGTTGGTTTATCTTGGGCTTCCTGTTTCTTTAGTGCACTTGTTTCCCCATTTCAGTACATGTTTGAAAATGTCTCTGTCTGCTTCTCCTCTGGGAACTGTCCACTATTTCACATTTTTTCTGTCTTATAACTATTGATACCAGGATTTGTCTGATCACTTTTTTGATTTCTTCACCTTTTTAAATCCATCCTATATAATTTTCATTAATGCCCTGGGATGCCAAGGTGGCTGGCATAATGTTGATCACCTCACTGGTCGGGTAGTTAATGGTCTCGAAAAATAGGAGTCTAATATCTCATGTGCCAGTGGCATAAAAGTATTCCTTTACTTGTTTAAATGAATTATTTTTAATACAATTACTTAAGGCACTTATTTCAAGTCTAATATGGGGTACCAGGAAATATCTTGGAAAGTAAAGGTTACAGGCATGCACATGATTGCAACACTCACTGGGTGCCAGTGGTCAGTAAACAAACGAGGCTAGCATCATATGCCCAGTGCACATCATTGAAAGCACATGAGGCCCGAGAGCTGGCTAGGGAAAGGGATACTTACAGGCGTGCCGTGAAGAGAGCGACGTTCTGTAAAGGACTTGCTGACTGATGATGACGTTGAGTGTGGAGACAGAGTGGGCTGCTGCATCAGAGGATGGAGCATGTGAGGATCAGGTTGATGTTCTAGGATGTTGATACAAATAACAAGAAGTGTACATTTGATTATTAGACCAACTCTTTGTTAGCTCAAAATATATTTGTTAGAGGAGGGTTATCATATTCACTGCTTTTAGATTTTTTTTTTTATTACTCTGATTTGAGTATTCAAGTTGTCGTTCTGAAATGTAGTGAATCCTGTTGGAATTGGGAAACTTATCTTCTCTAATTGTTGTACTTGTAGACCTTTTAGTAGGTATTTGTTCTGCTGGTTCTAACACGGTCCTGACGCTCACAGCATTGTAAGTTACACCTAGCTGGCGTGGCTATTGTAGGTGCTCTGATGATAACCTCTTTGGAGGTTGAACAAGGTGTCTAAGGTCTGTCATCTGGATTGTGATCTTATGATTTCATGGTGTCAGATTTTTGGGTAGCAGACCAGAAAGGACATTTGGTGTGCATGCACACGTTTTTTCTTACTGATTGCTGTCCATAAGATTGATACTTCAGTGATAAGAATCAAACAAGCAAGTACATGAAGTCCCATTCAGTAACATAACACAGTTATATTAGAAAGTCCTTAATGAATGAAATGACCTGCAGTCCAATCTGGGGATGGGATAATGTAAAATAGACCTTGCTTTAGCCTATTGTAATTCTGGAACTTTATTCTTCCTGTTGTAATTATGGAACTTTGTTGGGTTTGTTATATTTATGGAGCTTTATTCTTATGGTTGTAATTATAGAACTTTATTCTGACTGACTGACTTTCTACCCCACTAGGACATCACACAAGTGATAAACACCCGATGACACAAAGTGCCACCATGTGGATGAGGATCACCGTGGAGAGGTCCCAGAAACCGCGTTCAGACAATTGGCCATATTTATGGCCTGCCTATATTGCGGCCCCTGGCAAAAGCCAGAGTGGGGCTTCAAATAACAAAAAATTATGTCCTAAAAAGGACGTAAGGAATAGCAATATAGTAATTATGGAACTTTAATGAGTTTGTGATATTTATGGAGCTTTATTCTTATGGTTGTAATTATGGAACTTTATTCAGTTTGTATGTTTATGCAGCTTTATTCCTAATTTTGAATTATAGAACTTGATTCTTCTTCTATATAATTGAGGACATTAATTCCGCCTGTCATAATAAAGGAATTGATTGTTCATCTTCTTTATTGTTTCTGCGAGTGACATCAATGTGTTGAGCCTATTTGCAACATAACTGTGACATCTGCGACATTCGGCTGTCACAATTAACTTCTTCAGGCTTTTGTATTCTGGATTAGCCTTTCTGGCTAGTTTCCTGGGACATTGAGTGATGTTTTACAGTCTCATTTTTGTGGTGCCTTTATTTTCCCCTGATCCACAGGTGTTGTCTCTAGAGAACCTGTCCAGGACAGCCATATGCAGACTGTTCAGCCCTCAGTGTAAGGCAAAGGTAGAGAATTGCCATTTCCTACCATCGAAGGAAGCTTTAATAAGTGCAGAGTCAATACATGGTGCTCTAGTACTGGGCTTGCCCAAGGAATCGGTGTGTCCTGCACATGGCTGCTTAACTTCACATCCATATTTTGAGCCTTCCACTCTTTAATTACCTTCACAAAATGAGCATTTCATTTCAGCATCCTGGACTTCTTTCTTTGCCATTGGCACCATTTGCATGGGTGTCACACGGCCCTGCATGCAGCATTAAAGGAAAGCATGCATCGGCATGAATCTCCTTATATGCAGCTTATCGGGGTTAGTTTGCATGGATGTCAAACGGCAATGCCTGCAGCATTTATTGAAAGCATGCATCAGCATGAATCTCCTTATACATAGACTTTCAGGGTTAGCTTTCCTGATTGCTTTCTTGGCACATTGAGTGACATTCTAACTGTCCTTCATGTTTCTGACTAAAATCACCCACCCCAAACTTGATTCTGGCTGTTGTGTTTTGGAAAATTAATTCTGCCTGTTGTAATTTTGGAACTTAATACTCCGGTTGTAATTTTGATTGATTTCACTAATTATGTAATTTCTTATATTTTTTCAGGTTGCATGACTGGGCCCAAAGAGAGGCTTTTCTGGAACTTGAACGTAGAGAGAGACTAGGATTACCTCTTGTTGACCCAGAGTATGCCAAGATTGATCCGAGTGATCTGCCATCAGATGAGGAGCTTGGGGATGCAGAGATCATTATATAAACTATTTCGTCATGGGAACTCTTGTGTTTCAAACTATTTTTATGTTTTGTGCTTCATTAACTGCTTGTTGTGAAGCTCATCAGCTCTAGTGTAGACAAGTGAGTGTATGTGAAGGAATTAAATATTGAATATTTGGAGTAATGTCATGTTGTTGATTTCTTGTATAAGTGCAGGAATGTGCCAAGTTGCTCTGGGAATGTTTTATGTCCATGGTTTTGCTTTGATGGAAGAAAAGTTAGGTATCTAGGATTTGGTAAAGTTGCATATACTTTGGCTTGACCAGCAGCAACCTTTCTTCCAATTGATTAAGTTGGTATCCAACACAATTTGAGGACACACAGTTTAATCTTTAACTGTTTATTGCTGTTATAACTGTCTTGTCGGTCATTACTCGTTCTTCTAGGGAATATGCCACAATTGCTACAGCTCAGGTCTACAGCACTAACAATATTTCAGTTAGCTTATACTCTAGAAGTTCCATTCATTCTAGCTCCTCATCTCTTATGTACAGTACAACCAGCATTCTCGGCCAATTGATTGTTTAACACAGGCTCACTCCTGGGCCATTGCCACTGGATACCAGATACTTGATCCGACTGTCAGCTATCACAATTCATGGCATATAATTGCAATCAACCCAACCTTTATTTTTTGCTGTTGAACACTGAACTACTCATTCCTACTTTCTTGCTTCCAATCATTTCTTTTCATCTACGAGTTTTCAATCACTCACTCATCCACAGGAAATCACAAGCTTACTTTGTACATGCTTTCCTGCTAATTCATTCTCAACTGACCTTTAACCCCTAATGTTGGGACCTTTTATGACTCATAGGATTTCCCGCTCATTACAAAAGTGTATGTGGGAGGTACAGTTTGAAAAAAAAAGTTAATAAAGGGCCTTTCTAACATCAGTGATTGTGTTAGGAGCATTTACAGTCAAACATGTTGTTTAGACTCATCAACTCTCTGTGGGAGACGTGCTCACAGCAGTCCCCTTACCTGCTACCAATTTTAGGCTAGGTTCACCTGGGAGCCAAGGCCAGTTATGAAAAGTCCTCAGTGCAGATTCAAACCCTAGACCTCTGGTTTGGCAGGCGAGTGTCTAGCCACTGTGCTACCATGGATTCCATTAGGTGGAGGAGTTGGGCGTGTGAATGACTTAACTCATTCAGTAACAAAGAATTCAACCATGGGTCTGTTGGGTTCTTCTTACATTGTACATTTTCTGAACGCCAGATGCAACATTGTTTTACTTTTGAAAGATCCTAGATATATCCTGTTTTTAACAACAGTAAAAAAAAAGATGGAAAAGGCAATGTATGGTCATGTAACATGAATTACTGGTCTCTCCAAAACAGAACTACAGGGCTCAGTATAAGGGAAGAAGCAGACTAAGAAAGCCCTGACACAGAATTTGGTAGGCAAACATAAAATCCATTACATCTGATCAACATAAAGGAACTGATTCGACAACAGCAACTGGTGACCAGACCTGCCGAAATTGTTTTCCAAATAGTACCAAATTTTTTTTTTTTAAAGATACCGAAACACCACAAAACGTACCATATTTTTAGTTTTTAATTTTCAAACCATAAAACATCTTTATTTAAAAAAAAAAACGCACGCACATGATTTGTGTTTGTGTGTGTGTAAAACTGGCTCATAGGAGCTGACATTCTTTGTCTGACAACAAACCATAAAGAATATTTGTAATCTTTAAGCAACTTTAATGGTACATTTCTTTATAGGCAACTGCTAACTTTTGCTTAATTTTATTTTCTGGTTGCCTTTCATTGTTTAAGTTTCTACACCACACGGCTGGGTAAAGTATACATAACATTTAACAACGGCAAACTACTGGACGTAAATTTGCCTAGAAAAACCACACAACCGCCAGGGGCTGTTGGGGATGGTTCTGCAACGTCCTGTAAAGGATACGCAACTAACCAATTTAAAGATTGATATCTGTGACCAGAGTCACTATCTCAGATGGGAATCGTGACAAGGGCAAGTTCTGTTGTGAACTGTAGATTCAGAAAATAGCAAGTGGCCTGTTGCCAGAGAACTGCTGTTAACTTATATGTGTGCAATTACTAATCCTTTGTAACTGCTGCTGTCATAGACAATGAACTGCACTTCTAGTGCCTAACTGTTTGTGTTGGCACTTCTGGTGGCTGTCTTATGCATTTGGTGCCTGTGTGTGTGTGCTATTGGCTTTACTGAGACTGCCGTCTGAATCCATGTTTCTCACCGAGGACGATGATAGGCATTCAACGTGGTGTTCGTTGGCGCAGGAAAGGAGCAACTACAGGGTGACCCGTTCGCTTTGAAGTTTGATTATCTTTGATCTCTCACCATTCGCAATCATAAAGAGTAGGCCATAGATGGCTGCTCTTCTGACAATATTCCCACAAAATAGGTAAGCTACCTATTGTAGAATATTTTCAGCATTTTAAATCTAATATGTTTAAATGACAAGGGGCGACAACTACCTTAATTCATTTTTTTTGTACCCCACAGGACATCACACAGGACTTACCATCTCTAAAACATATTTACAGGGAAAAAAAAAAGATCTAGGCTATTTCTTCTTCATCTGCCTTTGTCCCCAAGTGGGGCTTTATTCAGGATATGTTTGAGGTTTGAACAACGGATCAACATCATGGCACATGGGTAGTAACCCATAAGTGTTCCGTTCTTTTTCTTACTCAGGTGTAGTACTTCCTGTCCTTTTAGGACGACATTTTTTGTTATTTGAAGCCCTACTCTGGCTTCGCCAGGGGCCGCAATATAGCCTGGCCATAAATATGGCCTAAAGGCTGAACGCTGTTCCTGGAACCTCTCCATGGTGATCCTTACCCACATGGTGGCACTTTATGTCATCGGGTGTTTATCGCTTGTGTGATGTCCTGGTGGGGTAGAAAGTCAGTCTTACTCAGGTGTGAGTCCGTGGAAGCTCAGTACAGTGCACGGGCTTTGTAGCACTGGCGAGGACCCTGAAATACTTTGGGTAGATTTTCATCTCCAAATTTTGCCCAGGCAGCGCCGTTAGGCTCCTCTTCAATTTCCAACTCCCAAGGGATATTTTTCGTGCGCAACAATGCACACGGGCGTCCGATCTCACTATCTAGAGACCGGGAGGAATTGGTAGAAGTCCAAGTCGACATGAAAAGAATCCCCTTACCGGGGATTGAACCCGGAACCCTTAGCATTCAAGATGGACACCATACCTCGAGACCACGCAAGCCCCTGGTAGTTGAGAATTAATTGATTTGAATCGTTATAGTATATTTCGTCTGCATTTGTCAACCAATTCACTGGTATCTAATTTATCCAGGCTATGTGACGGTGTAGTTGTTGTACACTCGCCAACTGGCCCTGATGTCCGTGGCGAATCGGACATACGATGGTAGACTCAGACTTTTAGAGGCCAATCAGCGCTCATTGGGGAAAAAATAATAGCACAAAGTATTTGCCAGGAAGAAGGGGCAGGGACTGACCAACAGGAAGATGGGCACAGGATAAAAGTGACTTCTTGAATATGAAAGTATACGAGGAGGGAGAGCTGACGAGAGACCGAGT